TTAATCGATTCATTTTGCTTTTCAAAATTATGGTTCTTATTACAACACGTTTATTAAAAAATATAAAATTAAATAATATAAAAGTATACAAACATAATAGTAAATTTTACTGAATCAATGGTTTTTATGCCATACACTAAGATATCATGATAAAATTATCAAATTTTACATTTATCAAATCTTACAAAAGCATATTGTTTTGCATATTACAAAAATAATCACCAAAGCGCTCCTGTAAAAATTATTGTGCATTTTGGTGTTCTCATATAGCCAGGAACATGGTAAATGTTACCATATTCTGGTAGTTTTGACCATTTTTTTTTCAAAGTGCAAATATTTAAGAAAGAAGCTTATTTTATCAAGAAAATATTTATACTTTCTGAAAATTAACTCCATTTATATATTATTTAGAAACAGATTTCTATGTTTAGAAACTAATTCTTTCATTAACTAACTGGTAAGGAAAGTGGGAGTGTTTGAAAAATTATCCTATTATTTTAAAGACAGCTCGTACAGTCAATTTAAATTTAAATTAAATTCTGTCCTCTATTAAACTTACAAAGTGAGAAGTGAGTGGAATAAATTTTAAAGTAACAATGTGCTCTGTAGTTGTCCGCTAAATTCATTGCCAGATTCATTGATTACTTCTCTGAATCCTAAATTGCGGCAGTTGATTACTATAAGAGGAATGGCTGCAATTTCTTTGCTCTAAGTTAATCCTTGAAAAAGTGTCCCAATTGCCTCAATCTGTTACTGTTAAAAATAAACAGATCTTAGTTTTTAACTTATAAAAAACTTTATTTAATATAGGAAAGGGACTATGCTAACTAATACTCAATAATATATTTTTTTAAACTAGATTTATTTTACCAAATTTTGTCACTTATTATAAAACCATATTATATTGTTATACTACCAAAATAATGACGGTGCCGGGATAACCTGGTCGGTAGGGCGCTGGGCCCATGTCCGAGAGTTCGTGGGTTCGAACCCCACGGGCCGAAGACTCTCCGTGTAGTTAAGTGACTGATGCACGTTAAATCTGTCGAGTCGCAAAAGTCCTCCATGTTCCGATAACAAATCAAGACCTCTGGGGGTATTGGATTGGAGATCGATCGTTCTCTGATTCAGGTCAAAATTACGATCTGTGGATAAATGAATGGATGTATGAATGGGTCCGCTCTNATTTTAAAGTAACAATGTGCCCTGTAGTTGTCCGCTAAATTCATTGCCACATTCATTGATTACTTCTCTGAATCCTAAATTGCGGCAGTTGATTACTATAAGAGGAATGGCTGCAATTTCTTTGCTCTAAGTTAATCCTTGAAAAAGTGTCCCAATTGCCTCAATCTGTTACTGTTAAAAATAAACAGATCTTAGTTTTTAACTTATATAAAACTTTATTTAATGTAGGAAAGGGACTATGCACTAATACTCAATAGTACATTTTTTTAACAAGATTTATTTTACTGAATTTTGTCACTTATTATAAAACCAAATTACATTGTTATACTACCAAAATAAATACGGTGCCGGGATAGCCTGGTCGGTAGGGCACTGGGCTCATGTCCGAGAGTTCGTGGGTTCGAACCCCACCGGCTCCCGTGTAGTAAAGTGACTGATGCACGTTAAATCTGTCGAGTCGCAAAAGTCCTCCATGTTCGGATAACAAATCAAGACCTCTGGGGGTATTGGATTGGAGATCGATCGTTCTCTGATTCAGGTCAAAATTACGATCTGTGGATAAATGAATGGATGTATGAATGGGTTCACTCTATAAACGGGTGCGACGTATGGTGTGACAGAAGTCGAATCCCAAGACTTAGTAAATTTCATCAGCATGAATTTACTAAGTCTTGGCATGACATGACTTTACTCGACATGAATGTATTAATTAACAGTAAATTAATTTCTTTAAAAATATGTAATGATCGAAATTTAATGAATTATTTTTAAAATATTGAGTGAATTAATGAATATTGTAATTTTTCGTCATAGCCTTTTATCAGTATTATTCTTAAAATTAGGTTTTATGTCAGACTGTTGAATTCATAGGTTTGGAGTGGCATCTAGTCTAGTTCTTAATTTGATTTTTGTGTATGCCTAAATTGAAAATGAATAAACTTAAATATGGTTCTAATTAAACTATAAAGCGAAAAAAAGAAGAAAATAAATGTCGAGAATGGTTATCAGAAATGGCTTCATTGTTGAATTTGGTTATTTTTATTCAATGCGAAATACTAATGAATATTTTTTCCAAATGCATATCTTTTTTGTAATTCATTCATTATATTGCTATTAGAAAAAAAACATTGTTTTGAAATTCTTTAGTAAAAAGAATTTGAATGAAATGATTCTATAAAAATTATGGGAATATTAAATAAGTAATGGATTATTAATTGGATATTTAAAAAATTAATTACAGGCTTTGAAAATTATTACTCCTGTACGGAACCCTAGGGTTCCGTGTATTACCATTCAGAAACCGTTGTTCTATATTATATCTGTAGTATTTTTATATAAGAAAAATTCAATATAAATGACTTTTACAACATATATTTCAGAGCCAGAAATTATAATCCCGAAAGACTAATATTTACTGTCATGATTTGTAAATGGTGAAAGGAATAGTTTATTTTTTAGATATCATACTAAATTATTTGACATTTAAAGACATTTTTCTTTTACACATAAAATTCTTTGACTTTATCTTGTCTACAAAAAAGCTGCAAATCATGCAACTTTCATTTACACACTCTAGCATTATAGTTTAAAAAAATAAATAACTATATATATTTTTTACTTAGGAATGGTTTATATTTAATCTCGATGTTTTTTCTTAAATTTTTGGGAAGCAGATTGTTGCGATTCTTTTTCTCCTGATAAGCTGAAAGAACAGGAGATTGAAATAAATGAACTGAAATGTGGGGTTTTACAAGTAAGAACTGACAGTTTTGAGAATAAATTGTCGTAAACGAGTAAAAAAAAGGGAATCTGAACTATTTGTAAGCAATAATAAATGATCGTGAAAAATGTGAACCACCTTTGGTATTTCTTGCACTCCTTTTTTTAAACTATTTTTCAGGGTTTAAATACTACGTATCAACGCATTTTTTGTACTTATCTAAAAAAAAGTTTTCCAAAGTAATATATTTTCAAACTGTTGTTGTTGTACGTCACATATATTGAATTATCGTTGGCTATTAATTGCATTGTTACAATACTCTACCAAATACTTTAAAATTTGATCTTAATTTTCCTTTTTTTTTAATATTATTTTTTTAAATACTTTTTTTTAAAAGGGAATATGATATGATAAATGTTTTAATAAAATTATATAATTTAAGACGCTTGAAAGTTTTTTTTGTTGTTATTTAAAACCTCTTAATGAATAAATAAATGAATGAAGTAAGTGAAAAAAACAATCCTACCAAGAGAAAAGACAAAAATTTAGAAGTTCATTATGTTCGATTAGAATTAATTTCTTATCATTATGGTGTCAAAATTGATGAGCCCAATCGATGAACATATTATAGGTTATAATATTTCAGAATTATTCAAATTTCTATGTTTAAGAACATATAGTTGCCTGCTTGTAATTATAATAATTAATGTATTCTTCCAATTCAAATTTCAACCAAAAATTCTCGAATTAAGTGAATCTGCTGTTCCAATTGCAGTTGTTCCAAAAGTGGCCGGTGATTAAAAAAAAATAGATTGAAGGAAAAACAGAAGGCGATAGAAACGTACTGTTAACCACATTCTGCTTAGAGAACTAAGCACATTTCGTTCTAATTTTTAAATTGGTTAAAAAGTTCGTTAAGAGATAGCGCTGACTAAGAATTAGGAGGAGAAAAACAGTAAAACAATCTTTTCAAAATAAGCACAATTTGAAGTAAGAATGTGATGCAATCTGTGCTCGAAATAATTGTTGCCAGTGCAAATACTTTAATTAAAATACACTGTAAAAAATTTCGGATTAATTTACGGTAAAAAAAATGGGTGATGGTAACTTTTCACAGTAAAATCCATTTTTACCGGAACACGTTACGAGACGAAGAATTTGACCTACCGTAATTTTTATAGTAATTATTACCGTAAAATTACTGAATCACTCTAATTAAATAAATATTACTATAAAAATTACGGTATAGGATTTAATGATAAAAGTATACTTTACGGTAAAATGGATTTTACGGATACTGCACCCAAAGTGCCGGTATATTATACCGTAATATTTTACAGTGAAATCTGACATGGAATAGAAAATTTCTATTCAGCAAATGTCAAAATAAATAAATAAATCATAATAAATAATGATAAAATAAGAATTGTCCTGCTTTAATTTTTTATTCGCTATGTCAGGCTCAATGATAAACGGAAACGTGGTAGCATATGTGGGCTATGTCACCAAATTATTATTTCTAAAGTTATCTGAAATCACACGTGTTTATTTTGTTTATAGTTACGTTTAACTTTAAAAGTTAAGTGTGTTTCTATAAAACTAAATCATTTTAAACCAACTGTAATTGAATTAAAAATAAAAATACATTTTGTACTAAAAGGCAAAATTAATGGAGAAAATGTACATATTCGTTTCGGAGATCATAAAAAATCACCATACTATTTGACGCCGATAGTGCTTGATTTATTTTCGTAATAACTCTTACCGATATTGTTGTACCAAGCACTGTTTTAATAGTGACCTAACATGCTAATAAAGATATTTAATATTGCTACTAGGGTACCTTATATAGGTACTGTGGTAATAGGTTTTTACATCCCTCTGAAAGGACTAAGTGTCGAAAGAAATTTATGGATTGTTGTAAATTTTGACTTTGTATCTCATGAGTTGGCCTCTAGCAATAAAGTTAATCTTTATTTCGATGGATTGAACTTTGTTTTTTGGATTGAGTTCAACATAAAATGTAATATTCAAATGTAATGTTTAAAATAAAATGCAACGACGAAAAAATAAAAATGTATTTTTTTATTTTTAGGATGCTCGAGATGAATCAGAGAGGAAGTCATCAACATCTGTAGAGAGTCAATCATCCTCATCGTTTCTTTTTTCGGCATTAAGGTAGGTAACTTTTTTTAATTGTTATATTATTTTTTGTTGTTAAATTCTTTTTCCCAATGTAGTGTGTTTTAGAGTAAAAATAATGCTTCATAAAAAATTCGTCTTAGCTTTATACTATTTGATGGTAACTTGACTTTAAATATTTTGCGCACTTATGAGACTTAAAATAATTTTGATCTATCAATTCAAAGTTAGATTATAAACTATTGAAAAGAAAAGTTACAAAATAGTTGCTGACAACGGAACAACGGAAATATTGGGCGATTTTTGTATGACTTATGAAAATTATTGTAATATAATCGCTTTATAAAGAGGGGAAAAGTATGGTCAAAAGTACGGGAATATTTTTAAAATTTACCGTGTTACTAACCCTATGAGAACAATAAAAAGCTCGATGGTAATGATGTGGTAATGATGGTAATGATGCTCTTTGGTAATGATGTTGGTAAAAGGAACAATAAAATATGGTTTCATTAAAGATATGATAAAATTTGTTAATTTTATCATGATACTTAAACTATTTATACAGTTAAATTTACTTTTCAGTTTTGTATTTTTTACTAAAGGTGTGGTAGTAAAAACAATAATTGTGAAACACTGAATTTCCTGTTAACTATTACCATATAAAATGGAAAAATTACGATGTTGTAGTTGTAGTTCATTTACGTCGCACTAGAGCTGCACAGTGGGCTATTGCCAACGGTCTGGGAAACATCCCTGAGGATGATCCGAAGACATGCCATCACAATTTTGATCCTCTGCAGAGGGGATGGCACCCCCGCTTCGGTAGCCCGACGACCTAGCACTTTACGGTAGAACAGTTTAACGAGAACCAATACCGCACACCCTCGGTCCCTACGCAGGCTGATCCAAGTGGTCACCCACCCGCACACTGACCGCAGCCAGTGATGCTTGACTTCGGTGATCTGCTGGGAACCGTGTCTTAACGATCAGTCCACTGCGGAACTGGAAAAATTACGAAATGAAAGGTTTAAATATCGTATATTTTGGTTTTATTACCCTGAATCATGCTTTTATTTAACAGAAATGCTATTACAGGTCTGTACGATAATTTTACCAGATTTTTTTTCGGTGTGTACTTTTCGACCTTCTGATTTATTCAACTTAGTTTTATGCTGTCCAATGACTTACTATTTTTCGGATATCTGAATAATATGCATACTGTTTTTTTATGAAAGTTATTCTAAGAAATAAATTATCAGGAATTGAAGGTTAATATCGTCTTGTAAATTACTATCTCCGAAAAAAAGGTTTAATATTAAATCATAATCATCTTGAACCATAGCATGGAGAAAATTTCCTGCAATCTTAATAAAGTTTCAATGTTAACTATATTTCCATTGAGGATGAACCATAGTATCGTGCAATCAAGTTTTAAAGTTACCATAACATGGATCAATTTAGCATTATTAAAATTACAACAAATTCGAACAACATTATGGTTCAGTTTTGCATAAAATTTATTAAATTAGTGATCAATTAATTTATGAAACTACTTAAAAATAGAAAATGCTATTGTTGCAAAATAAATACTATACCAATGACTGCAATATGGTCTTTCATTTAATAGTTAAATAACTCACAAAATGTCACTAGATATTAATTTTTTTGTGATAAAATCGAATTCGAATCATATTTTGAACGTTGACGTTGTACTTGTACGAAACCATAGTACTTGATAAATGAAGATGAAAGAAACAAGGATTTTCTTAGATAAATTTTTGATTCGTTCATCTCCATAAGTTTTCTTTCATATTTTGAAAGAAGCAAGACTAAAAATTCATAAAGTATTTTTGAATATGGAGGAGATTTCCTAACTTGAGGAGAAAAAAATAACGAAAATCATAACCTGGAGCAGAAATGGCGTTTAAAGTTTCAACTACGAAATTAATTTGAGATATGATATTTCGTGTTAAATCATGTGTATTGTATGTACAAAATAATCTGAAAAAAAATGTCAGAATGCACGGAGAAAAACAGTTCTGGTAAAATTACTGCATTGTATTGTAATTGCATTTCTAGTAAATGAAGCCATAATTCTGGTTAATAAAACCAAACTATATGGGATTTAAACCATTAATTTGGTAACTTTTCCAATTTTTATGGTAACGGTTAAGCAAAAATTCTAGTTTTCAAAATTATAATTCTTATTGTCTCATATTCAGTAAAAATTTCAAAATTGAAAACTAAATTTTACACCATAAAGAGTTCTAAAGCCATGTCTTAAGATATCATGATAAAATTATTATATTATATTGCATATTTACCATATTTTATCACATATTATAAAACCTAATTTTATTATTAATTTTTCCCAAGAACCTTATCAAACCGCTTCGGTAAAAATTTAAGAGCTTTTAGGTGTTCTCGCATACGCGGTAAATTTTACCATATTCTGGTAGTTTTGACCATTATTTTTGTATTCTAAGTGAATATATGTATAATTAGGAAAATTGTGAACATGTTTAAATTATCTTTATTTCTTTTAATTAGTTCCATTTTTCGTTTTAGATTTCGAAGTTCCAGCAGCACGTGCATTGATAAATGTATGAGAGGTAAATATTTGTTTATATTTAACTCTGTTGAAAAAAATATTTAAAACAAAAATAGAATTTTCCAAAAACGAGAAACATTTTGTAAGCTTCTTAAACCCATTAGGCTTTTTGATAATCAAAGCGAAATTTAATCACTTTGTTTAAATAAAGTACTGTTTTTTCCACCAGATATGTTAATTTATTAAAATATTTTTTTCTCTGCATAAAAAAAAGTTAAGCGTTTTACTTGCAAATAGGAATACAGATGCATCTTTAGTTGAACTGATAACATAATTTTAATTTGTCAATATTTTTTAACTAAAATTCTTTTTTTGAAAAATTATTTACAATATTGAAGTAGTAGTAGTAGTTAATTTACGTCGCAGTGGAGCTGCACAATGGGCTATTGGCGACGGTCTGAGAAACATCCCTGAGGATGATCCGAAGACAAGCCATCACAATTTTGATCCTCTGCAGAGGGGATGGCACTCCTGCTGCGGTAGCTCAACGACCTGCACGCGAAGTCGAGCACTTTACGGTAGAACAGTTTAACGAGGACCAATACCGCACACCCTCGGTCTCTAAGCAGACTGATCCAAGTGATCACCCACCCGCACACTGACCGCAGCCAGTGATGCTTGACTTCGGTGATCTGCTGGGAACCGTGTCTTAACGATCAGTCCACCGCGGGACTACAATATTTAAGATAAATTGACCAAAAAAATCACACTTTATTAATAAAATTAATTATCTGCTATTATACTTTGGAAACAGTCTAAATGTTTTTTCTTAAGTAAGATAATCACATATTTAGAAATATTTGTCTTCTAAATTTATTGAATTGATAAAAGCAATAATATTTTTTTTCTTCTAAAATATGCCCGAATCATTATTTTTCGAGAATGTATTAATTTCTTAAGTACCTCATCATCTTCAAACTACACATTTTAGATATTTAAAAGACTTCATTTTACCCCTTTAAATTAAAAAGATTATTTTTTTTAAATATTATTCATTTAGTTTTAATCATTGCTGTCTAAAACACTTTCCGTTTATCAGTTTTAATTAAAACGCCAAGTTCTAAAAAAATTGAGTAGCAAAACATAAGATTGTTTCCATGCTATATAAAGTTCTTTCAGATAATTGAAAGTTTTAATTAATTTTTCTGGATGAACGATACTATGTAAGCGTTTAAAAATGATACTTACAATAATTAACTCGAATCAAGCATGTATACTTGTCATAAAAATAAGTTTTCTTTCGCTTAATACTACTTTTTTTCTAGCATTAAAATAAATCGGATTCAAAAAATGGAAAATGATCTTAAATTTAATTGCATCTGTATAAAATAAAAATTAAAACCTGCTTTCTAAAACAAAATAAATATCTAAATGTAATTTCGTATTTAGTAGCAGTTATCTTTAAATGAAACGTATATATTAGTGTTTATTAGATAAGTATTTCTGTTACGAGCAATCATTGAAAAGATTCGGTGAACAAAAATTTTTGTTTAAATTTTTTATTCGTATTAGATATGTAGTACATATTTTCAATTTAAGAGAGGTAAAATGAGGTCTTTTAAAGGTCTAAAATCTGTAGTTTAAAGATGCTGAGGCACTTAAGAAATGAATTTTCGAAAAATAATGATTTGGACATATTTTGGTAAAATAAATATTATTGCTTTGATCAATTCAATGAGTTTAGAAATCTAATATTTCAAAATTTATGAATATTTTGCCTTAGTAAATACAATTAGATTAATTTTTAAAGTATATAAGATAATTAATTTTATTAATAAACTTATTTTGCAGTCAATTTATCTTTAAAATGTAAATAAATTAGATTTAAAAAATTGAAAACAATTTTAAGTTTAATTGCATATTTATTTTTCAATTTACGAGAGAAAATGAAGTTTTATAATGGTCTATAATCTGTAGTTTGAAGATGCTGAGGTGTTTAAGAAATAAATACATTTTCGAAAAAAAAATAATTTAGGCATATTTTAGATTAAAAAAATATTATTGCTTTTTATCAATTCAATGAATTTAGAAATCTAATATTTATAAATTTATGAATATGTTGCCTTAGTTAAAACTATTAGACAATTTCTAAAGTATAGTTGAAGGTAATTAATTTTAATAATGAACTAATTTTGCTGTTAATTTATCTTTAGAATGCTGTAAAGTAATTAGATTTAGAAAAGGGAAAACGATCCTAAATTTAACGGCATCAGAATAAAATAAAAGTAAAAACCTGCTTTTTAAAATGAAATAAGTATCCAAATGTAATTTTGTATTTATCTTTAATGAAACGGGGAGCAACGTTGGCCCACCTAATATGGTGCCCCTGAAAGAGAGGCCAACAAATCTGCCCCGTAAATGCCTGAATTGACGAAAAATGTTAACACAGGTGGGCACTGGAAAAAAAAATCTTTAATGAAACGTATCTATCTATCTATCTATCTATCTATCTATCTATCTCTCTCTCTCTATATATATATGTTTTAACGAATAATCATTGAAAGGATTCATTGAAGTAAAAATATCTGTTTTTACAATGTCGTGAAGGGGATAGTTATTGTGATTTTGTCCGTATAATCATATAACTCGAATGATATCAGAAACGTAAATAATGCGAAACAAAAGCGTTGCTCGCTGTTGGCTACGGGAACATGGAGGTGACTGCTCATTAATTTTGTGACTAACAACTGGATAGTAGCGATTCGGTCAGCATTGCGCACTGGCCTCCATTACTTCCCATTAAAGCTGGTATTCATCAATCTGAAGCTGTATGGTCTTCAAGTCGCCGCCATTGATATAATTTCAATGGTATATCGCTTTTCTCAATCTTCCTTAGGGCCTTACCCCTTCCGGCTTATGATCACATATATAAGAACAGATCACGCGATTATCTCACTTGATCACTCATACGCGATTCACGACCCACGGTATCATATATGAAACGAGAATTTCCGGCTCTAGCAGTCGATGATCACACAGACTTGATCTCATTTTGATTCTCTCGTATTCCATCATTTATTAGTTCATATACGTACTTTTTCAGTCCGCATACGCACTCTTATCTTTTTTTGGTACTCTCGTATTACATCTTCTATTGTGTATCTTTTATAATCTATCTATATATATATATTTCTCGCACACGGCGGCAAAAAAAAGCCTCATTTCAACTCCCCGAATGGCAACGCTAGAAAATCGACCAATGATTGCCGCTAAAAATGTCACATGCCAAATCTAGCTGAGGTGGCTCAACATATAGCGCTTTTAAAAACGGAAACTGAAGTAACCAGAGAGAGCATTCTCAGCAAATGCATTCTCTTCCGAAATCCACCCTATCAGCTGCGGCAATCTCATACTATTAAGCTAGGCAGAAGTGAGTAGTTTTTGTCGATGGATCTCTATTTTAGTATTTTGTCGAAAGCGCTTTTTTTCACGAATTTATATATTGCGAATTTATTTGACGATTTTTGATTTAAATCGCAAATTTATTTGTTTTGTTATTGTTATTAGTTATTCATTGAAAAATGAGTCTCAGTCGTGCTGTTACGCTTTAAGATTTTATAATGTATAGATTATAATTACATGTCATTTATTTGAATTCAAATTTATTTTAATGACTTTGTATTTACTAAAAAGATGTCATTTTTTTTTTTAAAAAAAACGTCGTTGTATGGATTTTAATGATTGTTTTGAATTCTTAGAATTTTGTGCACTTGCAATGTACCTAAGTTCGTAGCGAGCGAAGCGAGCTTGGTTTGCGAAGCAAACCATATAAGATTGCGTAGCAATTTTCAGGGATTAGCGAGCGTTAGCGAGCAGCTGCGCCCCCTATTTTAAAATAAAATAGGGGGCGCAGCCCACTATTTTATTTTATTATTTTAAGAGTGCGTATGTGTACTCTCTAGTTATACTCTTAAGCCTCTTTATTGTTTAGTACGCATTTTCTCGGAGCGTGTGGGCTGGGGAAACGTTTCCTTCCGCGGGTCCTGAAAGGATTAACCACTGTGCCAATATGGTGCACTATTTTTTAATTATGGATTGCCTTTGGATGCTTCTTACAATTTTTTTTGTTCTAAAAATCATTGTTATGGTTGTTAGAAGAACACAGTATTAAGAAAATTTTGGACATTAGTTGAAAAAAATTTTTTTTGTCTATTATTTTGGAGTCATTTATTAGCAGTGTATAAAAATTGTTATATTTGTAATGAAAATGAAACAGTTTAAAGTAATTAATTAAAACTGTTTTATATTTTTTTGAAAGACCATATTTCCGTTAATATATCACAGACGTTTTATAAGCGTATACGTTTTTGAAGGTGTATTTCAAAGCATGCATGGAACTTTTTGTATAATTTGTTGTGAAGCGAATTATTATTAGAAATCTTGCAACCAAATTGTTAATTAACTATGATTTATAAAAATGGTTACACATAATTTTAACACACATAATTTATGAAATTCTTGACAATTTTTAAAAACTATGAAAACTGATAAAAAATATCTGTTTTTTATTCGCAATTTCGAATGCGTTTACCACCGAAATGAATTATTTTCTTCAGAACCTTACAAAAACTCTTTCATATATTACGGAAACGTTATATTCTGTTAATACTTTGTAGAAATTCTTTTGAAAGTTTATTCACTGAAAAAATTCAGGATCAAATTACTGTCACCCTGAGTGCAGTATCTATAAAATCCATTTTAGTGTTGAATTCAATTTTACCGCGAAATTTTATATCATAATTTTTACAGTAATATTTATTTAACTACAGTGAAATTACGACCAATATTACTGTAAAATTTACGATACATCAGATTTTTCGTTGCTTAAAATGTTACGGTAAAAGTGGATTTATGGTAATAAGTACAATTACTTTGATTACCAGTTCTTTCTACCGTTATATGATCTGGAATTTTTTTTTATAGTTAGGCTTTTGAAGATCTTGGAAACAGAAATATTTTAAGCACATTCATTTTTTTACAAATACATTTACATTTACATACAAACATAAATGGTGCTATTATCATTTTGAATATTAGAATAGGTTCAAAAATCCAAAATAAATATAATTCATAATAAACTTTATGATCTGATTTTTATAGCAAACATAACAAATTCTTTAATTGTTATCATTTGTCATGCTGACATGATTGTACCAAAAATTGTTATAAGATTTTTTTTCCTTTTAAAACATCACTTCAGCACATATAGTTATTAAGATTCTTGGCATATTTTGAATTAATATGTAATTATTTTTAAAATAATATAACCCGTTTGAAAAATTTAAATATAAAACTCTTTTGTGGATTTTAATAACTAATGTCTCCAATAATAGATCAAACAGCTGCTCAGTTCAAATTTTGTAAGCTCTTTAGACAAGTAAAACCCCAATAACTTATCAATAATTTACAATTTTAAATCATATACATTAATTTTTAATGCAAACGTTTTTTCTTTCTTTAGACAAGAATTGTCTGGATGCAACAGGAAAAAAGAGAATTGGCATTGGAAAGTTCTTCCGCCATCTTAAGAGTGCGAATTCTTCTCCCAGGCATGTGCTGAAACCTTTTTGTAAGAGCAACTCCTCCTTTTCTCAAGGGGAACGATCAGAGGTTGATGGTGAGTAAATTTAATGTTTTGATAACATACATGGGGCCAATTTTGAATGACTGCATCTAGAGTTATAAAAGTGGTGTCTAAATGCAGTACAGACGAGACTCTACCACTTACAGCCCCACCTGATGGAAAACTGTGGAGTTATTGTTTCTACGATGCAAAATACACTGAAGAACCAAAAAAACTGGTACAGGCATGAGTATGCAAATAAAGGGGTATGGAGCCAATCAAAGTACAGCGCTGCAATCGGCAGCGCGTATATAAGACAACGAGTGTCTAGCACAGTTCTTAGATCATTTACTGCTGCTACAGTGCCAGGTTATACAGATTTAAGTGATTTTGAACGTGGTGTTATAGTCGGCGCACGGGAGATAGGACATAACATCTCCGAGATAGCAATGAAATTTAGATTTTCAAGTACGACCATTCCACAAGTATACCGTGAGTATCGGAAATCCGGTAAAACATCAAATCTACGACATCGCTGGGATATTTGGGATGCCTTGCAACGTGGTGTCCAGAAGATATTCCCACCCCCTCTTACTCCCACTCGTTTATGGACAGCCCTGCAGGATTCATGGTGTCAATTATCTCCAGCACTACTTTACGTCGTGTTGCGGCACTTCTGCGTGCTCGCGGGGGCCCTGCACGATATTAGGCAGGTGTACCAGTTTTTTTGGCTCTTCAGCGTAGAATGAAAATATGAGTTACGTAATTCTTGAACATCATTCACAAGAGGAGACCACTTACACCGCCACGTGATGGAAAACTGTGGTGTTATTGTTTCTACGATACAAAATAGAATGAAAATATGAGTTATATAGTTCTAGAACATCATTCATTGATTTTGTACCTTGTTAATATTAATGCCAAGAAAAGAAAGCTAAAAACGCGCATTTGTTTGCTTACAGATATCCACTCAGTGACATAACATAACGATAACAAGATTAAAAACATTTCTTATTGAAGATAATTGAAGAAATATCATGATTCTCTTAACCTTAACCGATTCGAAACGGTTAACCCCGTATAACTACTCAAAGTGATTTATCTTCATATTCACAGTTACCGTCAGCACGTGGATGTAATGTCTAGAGGAGTTTTCGTAATAACTGGACATTCTGAAACCATAAACAAACAAATACGCGTTTTAAGCTTCCTTTTCTTGCATTAAATATTTACGATGATACTCAATAACTATATAACTCAATCCTTTCCTTGTATCTGATACATTTTTCAAAACAGCAACGCTGAATACGCAATATTCGAACCTATCGCGCAGTAAACGATTTCATCTTGTAACCTTCAGCCACCTTAGACCTTCACACCATATGAAGAAGGTGATTACAGACTTCGTGTGGCACCCTATGTTTAAAATTCAATAATTTACATGAATATATTATAAGTTGAATAACTCCTTGTGAAACAGTAACATTTGGTAGCAAATTTTAGTCTGGCAATACATTAGCAACTGCGACCTCAGACAGTGTATTCTTATTAAAGAACCTTTTTTTGCTGGTTAATAACCGTGGTAGATAACCGTGCTGTTTAAATAATCGTAGTGTTGCCAGATTGGCAACACTGCGCCGGAAAGGGTTAAAGATAAATTGATTTTTAAAGCTCATCACCCTAAATTGTAAAAAAAAAAAAAAAAATGACCTAGCTTTTATGTGATACGCTCTTACTTTTAGAATATTTTATTGAATAGGTAAAAAAAAATTTTTTGAACTGTACAAATTTTTACAGAAGCACCATCTGACGACTTCTACTCCTTTACATCTAAAATATCCAGTGAGTCTCAGTCCTGTAGTGAACTGCTTCCTACTCACAAGAAACAAGTTTTCAATACAGCTTCGCCGAACCACGCTGATCACGCGTCCAGTGACTCCACGAAAAAATGCAATTCTATACTTGCTACTGAAGATCCTAAAACAGCACCAAAAACGTGCAACGGAGATTGTGGAAACATTATGTGCAGTCTCAGTCCTGCATTCATTGATGATAACTTAGATGAAACAAAAAACACATCCACGTCAACAGTTTCTGAAAACGCATCATTGGATGGAAGTTTGAGAAGAAGAACGAAATCTGAAGGGTGTTACTCATCAGCTTACAGAAGCAAAAGTGGAAAAAGAAATGTAAGTAGATTGTGAGGTGGAGGAATTATTTAAGATATAAATTTGCTTTCAATTTTTTTCTTGTTAAATGCTAAAAAAAATCTTGCTGGACATACCAAAATTTATCAAAAAATAATGTTGAAAGCTCGGATTTTTGTTTAAAATGTGTGAGTTTTTTTTTGGTCCCTAATGGCAGTATATAGTTATGTATGGAATATCATTTCGGGTAAATGGCCTGCGCTGTTTTACTAGGCGTATTCTTTTGTCGACACTTTCAGTAACTATTTATTGACGTTGAACAGCCGACCCAATTCTGAGTTTACGACTACCAATGTTCAAGTCCGTAACTTTGTAATTTTGTGCTCAACCCTTAAGACAAGAGAACTCCCAATTGAAGCATAGGGACAAACTAGCCTTTGCAGAGCACTTTTTGATGGAACTAATCCACATTTACGTTACGGGTAAAGGGTAGCCACGGAAATCTCGCATGGTTAGCCCAACGGCAAGGGTACTCAAAACCCATGATCCGTCTACCACTGAGGATATTTTACATCAGCACTGTGGTTGGTGCGAACTGGGAGCAGATTACGTATCAACCTGCCACTGCTGGGATTGGAACCTGGATCACCTCATTGGTAGGGACACTCTCTATCCCTCTTGCCACCGCGGCTGTTGAATGACCATTTGGCTTTAATGTGTCTGAATTTAGTTGATTCTGCCTCACTTAACACCTTCAGAGAGTGAGTCATTAAGGACTAGTAAGCATAAACGCTAGAAAAGAACAACGATATGAAAAGAGCACGACGTGACTGACCAATCCATTTAAAACACTAAATTACACAACCAGGGTAATGACTCAACATTGCTCAGCAATGAAAACACATAGTTCTTCCCTGTCAAATGTATTTTGTCAACTCAATTTCGTTAATTTTTGTCAGTTGTCACTCTTTTATTTATCTTTTCGTTGACAACATTTTGTAACACAAATAGTACTAACTTCAAATCTGGTGTGAATTTCGTGGCAGTGTTTATTACTCTTAATGTTTCTTAGTTTCTGTGCTTAGTTCTTAAATTGTTATCTTGCTTTTATATTTTTCTCTTTTCTTATCAAAAATATTAATTAAAAAAGTTAATTTTATTCTTAGAACCCAAGCTTAGACTCATCTAGAGAACTTCTATCTCCTCCCGGTCTTGAGGATTCTGACGAAGTCGATCAGGTAAGTGGCCATACCCAAGTGCAGTGCAAAAAAGAAAAGCGAACAGCTCAATAACTTTTAGTATCGGATGTTCAAGAATTGGGTCACATACTTAACGGAATAAGGGCCTAACCTTAACTATGCTAATTAATTTGTATAGGAAATATTTTACGTTACGAAATCAGTCACAAAAACGTACTTTATCTGAATGAACATATCTTTCTTATCTTTCTCCCTCATATATTTAGACGCTATATGAAGATTTGTTAGTGCTTATTTCAATATTAAACGCATTTCGATGGTTCAAAGAATTCGTATTTTTAAATTTTTAGCTGTTAGGAACTATTCGGCTGATTCCATGCAAAATTTGGGTTATGCCATTTGAAATTACGTATATTAAATTGCTGTTAAAATTTAATTGTCTCACAATTCAAAATATTTCGACCCTTAAAATAAACAATGAAAAAATTAGAAATAACTATGACAAAATAATTTTTGTATGTAAATTTCTTTGGATGAACGAGTTTTGTAATTGTGCAAAATGGCTTCGATTCTATCGTTTTTAAAAGATCAATTCTAAGAAGCGAAGTACCAAAAATAAAATAAAGATTAAAGAGTTCACACTTTTGATTGCTTTCCTGCTTAAACTAATAAGACTAAATTTTTTCAGATGGGTAACATCTTTATATTAGAACCAAAAGTCAAGAACCAAAAGTTGTATGTTTATCTCGTGAAAGTACGTTTTTATGTCCGATTTCCTAATTTCGAACATAGTTTGCATTAATAAATCAGTATATTTAACGTTTAACGGAATCATAGCACGCAAAAATCTGATCATTAGACCAAAAGTTATTAAGTTGAATATAATGAAGTCGAATAAAAGGAATTCGAATATTAATATCGATTTCTCAGGAACTATTTACCCGATTTTACCCAAAATTTGTATTTTGACATGTAAAATTACATACTTTAAAATTACTTATAGAATTGTGTACCGTATTATTCAATTTTTTTTCTGACTACTACTAAACAAAAATATTAAAAAATGATAAATATTACCAAAATTTATTTTTTAATTGAAATTTTATAAATGTGTGCAAAATTTTTCAATTCGCTTAAAAAATGTCTCGAGATATGGGGAAATACGCACAAAGTGAAATTAACATTAAGAGGTCCAAACTTCGTATCGCTCTTCTGACCAAACTATGGGGACCATATTTCTTAGATTGCAGCTACCCCCTCGATATTTTCGGAATGAAAAATCCGAATCAGTTGAAAAAACGGAATGTTTATCCAGAAAATGTACGTTTTTGTGTCTGATTTAGTAACTTAAAATATCGTTTGCATTAATTAATTGCATATTTGATGTTACCCCCTCAAACCATTAAGATTGAGTCCTAGAACGTGAAGTTCCGATCATTCGATCAAAAGTTATTCAGGGTTGTTTTTTTTTGGCGCACTGTACATTATTTCCCTCTACTTTTATTTTGTATGGAATAATCTCACTGTCTAAATATGGCAGTGTGTATTTTATGCATCAGAAATATAATTATTTGAAACATAGTGTTAATTTTTTATTTTATTTCTAGGAGCAATGTGATTATCCTCGTTTACCTCTTAGTTCTTCATCGTCGTCGACTTGGAGTGGAAAAGTGAAGGATCTTAAACGAGAAATGAAGCACCGAATCGGTCGATTGCGATCTCCTAAAATTTGCAATAAATCACTAGTTAGTAATTTCATGTTTAAATACTTATGAAATAGGAAAAAAAATCATCAGAGTAGTCAGCTCTAATGTTTTGAAGTCTTTTTAAACTGAAAAAAAAAATCTAATATTTTCTGTATCAAGGAAATATTTTCGCAACAGTCCATTCAGTGGCGTAGCTAGGAGCTTTACAACTTGGTTACCAATGGCATGAGTGTGGCAATATGGTCAGTCTTGCGTCCAAGTTACCTATATATCCCACATAAGCTGGTGCATATGTATTTGAAGCTGGATGGGCTTCACTGAGGATCGATCTTAAGATCTTAACAATGACAGCTCAGTGCGTTTAATCATTGAGCCATTGTTGTTCAATTTCTTTTAAGAGTTAATGTAAAATTTTCTATTATAGTTTCGATTTCAGTTGGAAATATAAAATTCCAATAAAAACCAGAATTGCATACCTGTATAAAGCTCTACTTATAAATATAGGTTAATTTGCAATAAATCACTAGTTAGTAATTTCATGTTTAAATATTTATGAAATAGAAAAAAAAACATCAGAGTAGTCAACTCTAATGTTTTGATGCCTTTTTAAACTGAAAAAAATCTAATATTTTCTGTATCAAGGAAATATTTTCACAACAGTCCTTTGTGTCCTGGCGATCAAAGCTTTACAACTTGGTTACCAATGGCATGAGTGGGGCAATGTGGTCAGTATTGCGTCCGAGCTACCTATATTTCTCACAGAAGCTGGTGCATATCGATTTGAAGCTGGATGGGCTTCACTGAGCATCGATCTCAAGATCTTAACAATGACAGCTCAGTGCGTTTAATCATTGAGCCATTGCTGATCAATTTCTTTTTAAAGTTAATGTAAAATTTTCTATTACAGTTAGTTTCGATTTCAGTTGGAAATATAAAATTCCAATAAAAACCACAATTGCATACCTGTACAAAGCTCTACTTATAAATGAAGGTTAATGAAACGCTATCTATACTTATAAATAAATATGTATGTTTACATATAGTTCATATTTCTTTATAATGGTCAATATTCTCCCGAATATATTATATATATCAAATTTGTTTCTTACTTTAAATACCTTTTTCCAAGTTACTAATATTCGAACTCTTAAAGAATTTGTGAAATTATATTTGTCTCTTTATGTACAGTATCTGGATTTTTATTATAATAATACAGCACATAATATATCCATTATCTGTTGTTATTAGCACTTATGTCGAAACCAATCAGTAAGCCTGATTGAAATTAAAAATTTAAGGCAGAGGGTTTCTTGTTTTTTCAGTGGCGCCATATATGGCCAAGAATACGACTTCAGCTACACAAACTTTACAGGTAGGAACTAATCATACTCCACTCATTCATCTATGGATCGTAATTTTGACTTGAACCAGAGAACGATCAATCTCAGTACCTCTGAGGTATTATAATTTGTCATGGGAACTTAGAGGACTTTGTGACCTCGACATAATTAACGTGCACAGTCACCATTTAATACATGGGGATTCTTCGGCCGGTTGGATTCTAACTCTCGTGGACACGAGCACTATGTCCTGCCTACCAGGCTATCCTAGCCTCATTACACACTGTGATAAACTAATATAATTAATAACACAAAAAAGTTTTCAAATTTATTTGTTTATTCATCAGTTAAAATTATTGTTTACTTTTCTACAGGTCAATGAGAATAAAGATGCATGCGAGAAATCGAATTCAACAGAAAAGTGTTTAGAAAAAAATGAATCTTCAGCAAGTAAGTGGTAAATTGTCATTTTTATAATTTTTTTTTTCATTTGGAAAATATTAGAACCGATTTGTTTCATTATGCGCAACTCACTAATGACTCAGAGACCTTATTTTATTAATCATTTATACATGTTTTAGGCAAATGCCAGATTAAAAAAACTGTTTAAAATCTAACAAAATTGTGTAAAAGATTTGAAAAGGAAGTGGGATACTGTCTATATTTCTTTGTCCCTTATGCTAATTGTTTTGTATACTGTAAAAAGGCGTTTCTTAATATTGAGCAAAAATTTGTCAAAAGATCCAAAGCAAATATCTTCGAATTTCAAAAACCTTTATTCATTAATTAGCATGTCTTTCTCACCATTTAATTGTTTGAGCGTATCACTAGACTCAATAATGAATATATGGGGTTTTTGCAATCTATTATATTTGTATGGGAGCTGTTTTGATACATTTTTGCTCAATTTTGACAAACGATTTTTTACAGTACATAATTACAGTAATTTATAAAAGGAAATCACAACTTTGATCTCTTTCCGATTAGCTAGGGTATTGAAATCTTAACTGGCTCTCAGTGCTAGATGACAATTCAAGATAAAATTGCTTCCTGAATAGTGCAAGCAAAGTTAATCAGTATCAAATCACCAATTAAAGTTACAACTATTTTTTGACCTATACAATTTAACAGACGCAAAACTAAAATTAAAACACTAATAGGATGTAATTAATAATTTAAAAATCATGATTTTGAAATTCACTAATGAGGGTAAATAATGTCAGACCTGAAATCAAAAACTATGGATAAGTAAGATTCGTTATATACTTCTAGCGAAACCGAAAATAATTCGTTAACTTTTTTTAAGTGATGAGTCTTGCGTTTTTAATTTTAGATTAGATAAAAATGAATATATTTTCTTCATTTTAGTCTGTTTAAAGTTAGTCAATTAAAGTTACAACTACTTTTTGACCTGTTCAATTTAACAGACGCAAAACTAAAATTAAAACACTAATAGGATAAAATTAATAATTTAAAAATCATGATTTTGAAATTCACTAATGAGGGTAAATAATGTCAAACCTGAAATCAAAAACTATGGATAAGTAAAATTCATTATATACTTCTAGCGAAACCGAAAATAATTCGTTAACTTTTTTTAAGTGATGAGTCTTGCGTTTTTAATTTCAGATTAGATAAAAATGAATATATTTTCTTCATTTTAGTCTGTTTAAAGTTAGTCAATTAAAGTTACAACTACTTTTTGACCTATACAATTTAACAGACGCAAAACTAAAATTGAAACGCTAATAGGATGGAATTAATAATTTAAAAATTATGATTTTGAAATTCACTAATGAGGGTAAATAATGTCAGACCAGAAATCAAAAACTATGGATAAGTAAGATTCGTTATATACTTCTATCGAAACCGAAAATAATTCGTAAACTTTTTTTAAGTGATGAGTCTTACGTTTTTAATTTTAGGTCTGACAAAAATAAAGATATTTTCTTTTTTAGTCCGTTTTAAATACGCAATTGTTTAAATTTTAATTTTATTATTACTGACAAAAATACATTTTGAATTGCGATTTAATTCGTTCGTTTTGATGAATTTTACTGTGCACTTTTTTCCCCTCAATGGATAATCGGTATGTTGTAAGCTGAATATAAAACGGTTTTTTTATCATCATATTAATTCAAATAACATCGCCCTTCTTCAAATCGCGGTTTTTTAAAATTTATTTTCATATTTTAAATCTAGGAAGAAAGTAAGGACAGTCTTCAATAGACATCGATTTAAAAATTACGTCAGAAGTTACGCAAAATTATTTATTTTCTCTTAATGGATTGTTCGTAGCATATTTCTATTTTTTTTACATCTATATTAAACAAACTCCAATAAGCTAAAAAGAAAAAAAAAGCGGCTTTTCACACTTGAATTAATTCAAACGCAAAGCTTTTCTGTAAATTACGGTACACAATACAGAAATTGCCTCAGTTCGACCCCTGTTTTGGCAATCATTAATCACACCTGTTATTTGTTTCAGGTCATCAGAATCCTACATCAAATAGCAATCATGGATTCATTTGTTCTGGGGAGGAGGTATCATTGACAGAATGCAAGGGAATCTTAGGCAAGGCTCGTGCTCTGGTCGACTGCACTCCAGGCCCATATGATAAAGAAGGTCTCGCTTTTAAGGTATATCTGATTGTTTTCAAATGGAACCTTTGTGAGATTTATCTATTTTTATATCGATAACGATTTAATGCTGGGAAAACAATATGTAATCGAAGTGATATTGGGTGCACGTTGGGATCGATTGCTAATAGGGCGTGACTTCAACTTCTGGATTGGATTAGAATAGACTGATTTAAAGACACTACAACTTGGTTGCAATAGACTAATTCAAAGCCTAGGGCTTAACATAAACAACTAGATTATAATAAACACTACCATTAGGTTATAATAAGCTAATTCAAAACCTAGACCGTAACATCAACCACTAGGTTATGTTATAATATACTGATTCAAAGATTCTATCACTAAGTTGTAATAGACTACTAATTTAAAACTTAGGCTTAACTTCAACCATTAGATTATAATAAACTGATTCAAAATTACTATCAATATTAATTCAAAATCTATAGTGGTTGCAACCACTAGGTAATAATAGAATGATTAAAAGCTATAGCGTAACATCAACCAATAGGTTATAATAGACTAATTTAAAACCTAGGGCGTAGCTTCAACCATTAGGTTATAATAGATTGATTAAAAGATACTACCACTAGGTTATAATAGACTAATTCAAAACCTATTGCGTAACATCGAACACTAGGCTATAATCGACTAATTCACAGACACTATCATTAGGTCATTTTCGACTAATACAAAAACTAGGACGTAACAACAACCACTAAGTAATAATAGACTAATTCATAGACATTACCACTAGGATACACACCTTACTTTCAATAACTATTATATTAAACCTTCCGGTCGTATGGTTGCTCTCAGCCACCAATAGATATTGAGTATTAACAATATACGACCGCAAGCGTTCGATTATGTGTCTGAGATTGAACTTCGATAAATCCAAAAAAGTTGCAGCAGATTTGAAGTTGTGTTGATTCTTAAAAATCCAGCGTAATAATAATGACCACATAATCACTAAAGGAATAATTGTAACAAATGAAAAATGAATTGCTGTACCTTAACATAAATCATTTTTGCAGGGACTTAATCAAAATTTGACAATTATTGAGCAAAATAACTTATAAACTTAAAATTAAGCAGATCAAATAACATTAAATTATAACAAGCACTTTCTTTAAGTAGCGGAGGATTGCTCGCTTCAACCAAGTTGTATAAAATAAGAAAAAACTAACTTTTTATGCTTTTTTTAAAAATTGTCTACAGCAGTGAACTTATCGGACAAATAGCTGACAGTATTAAACATTTTCAGGTGTATATTAGAATGGACAATAGACATATAAATAAAAATAAATCTTTTCATAATTTTTTGTTACTATAAGAGTTGAAAAGCTTCGATTTCAATCAGAAAAATAGACTTATTTGAAGTTTTACAGAATATTCTTTTTTCTGCAGTAATGCTGGATTTAAAAAATGTTTTTCACATCAATTATCAATTTTAGCATCCTCACTAGGTCTTGATATTATATGATATATTTTAGGAATTTTTAATATAGAGAGAGTAAATTTGGAAATTGCCTTAACAATGCAAAAAAAAAAAGTCAACACCTAGAATAACTTCTGATCTAATGATCAGATTTTCATGACTAAGACAATTCGAGACCCTAATCTTTAATATACTAATTGATTAGTGCAAACGATATATAATGTTACAAAATCGGACACAAAAATGTACAGTGCGCAAAAAAAAAATTCAATAAATAAATAAACGGACCACCCTGAATAACTTTTGACCTAATGACTCGGATCCTCGCGTTCTAGGACTCTATCTTAATGGATCGAGGGAAGTGACTTTAAATATGCTAATTAATTAGTGCAGACGATATTTTAAGTTGCAAAATCAAACACAAAAACACATGTTCTCTGAGTAAACATACCGTTTTTTTCGACGAATTCGGATCTCTGACTCCCAAAATATAGGCCGCCATCTGGGAATTATGGTCCCCATAGTTTGGTCAGCAGATCGGTTCAAAGTTTGGACCCTTTTAATGTTAATTTCACTTTTTGCATATTTCGCCATAACGCGAGAAATTTTTAAGAGAACTGAAAATTTTTTGTACCGAATTATAAAAATTATTTATTCAAAAATAATTTTACTTAAAAAATTAATTTTATTATATATTTATTATTTCTTATAAATTTATTTAATAGTTGTAATTTATTTAATAGTAAATAATAATAGTTGAAAAAATTTAAATTGTAAGGTATACAGTTTTTTACATTATTTTAAAAAAATATAATTTTACTTAGCAAAATACAAAATTTGAGCGCAATCGGTCAAATAGTTCCTAAGAAATCGAATTTTGAAAAAATCTTTATTAAAAATTTGATTTCTCAGGAACTATTCGACCGACAACGTTCAAATTTTGTATTTTTCCATGTAAACCACATACTTTGAAACGATGTGAAAATTTTATACATTACAATTCAAAATTTTTTTCGACTATTATTAAATAAATTAATAAAAAATCATAAGTATTTACTAAGAATTATTTTTAACGTGAAATTATTTTTGGATAAACTAATTTTATAACTTTACGCATAAAGTTTTCAGTTCGTTTAAAAAATTTTCGTGGTATTGCGAAATGCGCAAAAAATAAAATTAATATTAAGGGGTCCAAATTTTGGACCGCTCTCTTGACCAAGTATGGGGACCATAATTCCCAAATTACGGCTACCCCCTCCCCTTTATTTCGGGCATCAGAAATCTGAATCTGGCGAAAAAAAGGTATGTTTATTCAGAGAAAGTTGTTTTTGTGTCTGATTTCGTAACTGAAAATATCGTCTATACTAATTAATAAGCATATTTGAAGTCACCCCTCAAACTATTGATTCCTGGAACTTGAAGATATAATCATTAGATCAAAAGTTATTTGGGGTGGTTAGTTTATTTTATTGCTCATTGTACTTTCTTTAAAAAGACATATATTTTTTTCGAAGTATTTAGATTTTTGAATTTTAATCTGGTTCCAAATATAGTTCCAATAATTTAGACGAGGCAGAATTTGAAAACTTGTGACCCCTTAATGTTAATTTTATTTTTTCCGTATTTCGCGATATCTCTTGAACTTTCTTACCTAATTGAATTATTTTTGCACACAATTATTAAATTCGTTGATCCGAAGTTGATTTCATGCAAATAATTATATTTTAGTTATTATTTTTTGTGTGAGATAATCTTTTTATAAGCGAATTTTATAATTGTGTGCACATTTTTTCTTAGATCCTCATAAAAGGTTTTTGAGATATGGTTAAAAACGCAATAAGTAAATATAGCATTAGGGAGGCTAAACTTACGTTACATGCCTAAACTGTTGGAACTATATTTTCCAGATCATGTCTTTAGGGTCATGTCTCTCCCTCTCCACGTCTTTAGGGTCTGTCTGCTGAAGAACAAAAAAGAGGGATATTTATTCAGAAGAAATGCGTTTTTGTGCCAGATTTCGTAATTTAAAATATCTTTCACTCTAATTGGTTAGCATATTTCAATTTAGTTCCTCGGACTAGTTAAGATTGAGTACGGATACCTGAAAAACGTATTATCAAAGCAAAAGTTCTTCTGTGTGTCCACTTTATTTACGCGCACTATTCCGCTTCATATTTAATTGAGTTCATGTTTATAGAAAGGTGATGTAATTGATATCTTGGCTAAGTCCAGCTCTGGCTATTGGGTTGGAAGATTCAAGAAACAAATTGGCCTTTTCAAATGTAACAATGTTGAAGAATTTCAAAATGGAGGAAAGAAAGAATTTCAGAGAAATTATTCATATGAACAAACGCTTGCATCACCCACCTCACTTGAAGAGCTTTTAGAGAAGCTGGACTTAAAGGTAAGGAAATAATATCTCTGTCTATAGTGATAGTGTGCGAAGTAAAAAGAAATTAAGCTTAATAAAGAATAGTAAACCATAACAACCTCTGTTAAACGAATCAAAGTGTTTATATCTGTTAAATATCTCACTTATGCTATCTCTAACGTCAACTTCTTATTAGATAAAGTAATTCAAATTATCCAAAAGAGAAAAATATAAGAGTCTATTTGATATTTTTTTACACTGCGTTGGGTATAAAAGCGCTGTTTTCCCCAAACAAACGTTTTGGACACCGGTGTCATTTTTTGTATATTCTTTTCTATATATAAAAAAAACAAACTAATAGTTACTAAAAAATTCGGTTAGATTATCAGAATTATATTTGTACTAAAATATAAAATTAAAAAATAAGTAGTGTAAAATTTTTTATTTACATTCATTTGTATAAAAAATTATCTAAAAATAAAATTCAAATTTCTGATAAAATTTATAATAAAANACTGAAATTTCTTTGAGTAAGGCTGAAAGGAAAAGTTTCTTTTTATTGTCTTATATTTTTTAAAGAACAAAAAATAATGTTATTTAACAAAATTACTTAAGGAAACTATATATATATATATATATATATATATATTGTCATTTTGAAACTAATTTTAACGCTTCCAACAATCGAAAATATGTATGCAGGCATTTTATCTTCATATCATTAGTTCGCAACTTTTATTATTTCATAAAACATATTTACAATTGTTAATGTTTCATATCTTACTATTATTCAAAGAAAACTATACTTATTAATATTTGTGTTATGGATTATAAACTTTAATACTTACGACTACTTTTACAGATTCTAAACTTTTTAAAATAAAGAACAATTTTAACTGAAGAACTATTTTAAAATAAAGCTTTTGGAAAAATCTGATGTTCAAAATGATGCAGCCCCATCTTGATTTTAATTATTCTTTTGAAATGAAATACAACTTATATTTTTTTGTGGGATACCTAAGTGATATTTTTGTAACCTGAGTAAAAATTAACACTTTGGAACATTATGGTTTTTTAAGAATAACAAAACATTATGCATTAAACTAAATATTATACATTCCTAAACAAACATTAAATATTATACATTCCTAAACAAACATTAAACATTATACATTCCTAAACAAACATTATACATTAAACATTATGTCATTCAGATAGTGTAATTCAACATATTCCAAGCAGAATAATTCATAATTATTGAGGCACCAATTTCGAATGATTCACTTAATTCGAATGATTTACTTCTTACGCATTGAAACAAGATGACTGCAATAAAAGGCCAATGAAATAAATTGGGAGCAAAAATCAATATAACCTACTCAAGAAAAAAAAAAATAGAGGACAGATGAAGTTAAGGGTCTTAAAATTGAAGAAAGGGCGTGAGTATTTTCCCATTTTTCTCGTCATTCACAGGTGTCTAAAAAAGAAATAAAAATTAAATTTGGATGAAGCAGCTGAAAGTGATAAGTTGTTAAGATTGTCAATCGATTTTCACTTTTCTGTGAAATAGTTCCAGATGGTGGTAAAAATACTTTTATTTGTTGTAATAGGACTAGTTCTGTTCAGCTTTTAAGACAAAACTTTAACAAAGATCACGCGTAATTCAAATAAATCTTCTGCTGATGGAACGTATGCAATCATTGAAAATAATAAATATTTTTTAAAAAAGAAACACGTTTGAAAAAGTAATTTTCATTCAAATTTAATATAGATTTTAATTAATTTTTCCATTTTTTTACTTTTTCATGCTTTTCAGAGACATCAAGTAACAAAAACAGAAAATAATTTTACTCATAATTTAATTTATCATGCCATCAGTTTACAGAAAATAGAAAACATTTTTTTTTAAAAAAAAGTTTGGAGTGATGGTTTCTGAAATAGTTTTTTTTAATGTTTTTCTTTTATTATTTACGTGCACCAGTTTTTGAATAATTAAATAAGCTTATGTGTATTGACTTTAAAACGTTGCAGTTTTATTATACTAACACTATTTTAAATCTATTGCCGAAGAAAAACAAAAATAATGTAAATCTGAAATAATGTAAGGAAGTAACAATATAATACAAACAAAAAAGTCAAAACGTAAATCTATCGATTAAAGAAGTTAGAATGGGAAACAACATAGATTTACGTGGTTTGTCCGCTTAATGTTGAATTAGTTCAATGAATCAACTTATCAGTTTTTTTACAATATCGCGAAGAAAGAAAACTTTTTACTTATCGTTAAACTCAAGTTTAAATTAAGTAACATAATATTTATTTACATTTTGATTTTCTTTCTTAGTTTCGTTGTCTAATTCAATATGCAGTGAAGAGCCATTACATTATGACCACCCTGCTAATAACATGTAGGACCACCTTAAGCTCTCAAAACTGCTATCACCCTCCTTGGCATTGATTCCACAAGGTGCTGATAGGTAGCCTGAGGTATCTGGTACCAAGCGCTCACCAACTGGTCCTGCAATTCCCTCACATTGCGAGGGGGTAGCGTGGCAGCACGAATTTGGTTTTCCAAGTAGGAGCACAAATGCTCTATTGGATTAAGGTCAGGTGAATTTGGGGTCCAAGACATGAATTGAAAGTCACTGGAATGCTCCTCGAACCAATCCATGACGATTCGACCCTTATGACATGGTGCATTATCCGGTTGGTAGACACCATACCCCGCAAGAAAAACTGTTGCCATGAATGGGGGAACCTGGTCTGCAACTATGTTCAAGTAGCTTACAGACGTCAGGGATCTTTCTATGAGGATTATGGGTCCTAATGTGCCCCATGAAAACATTGTTCCTGGGCGAGAAAGAGAAACCATGAAAACCTGGGCGAGCCCATTGTTATAGATGGAGGGTGGTCATAATGTAATGGCTTTTCGGTGTATTTTATCGTTCTTTTTAATTTTAATTTTAAGAATTCAAAATTGATTTTTAATTTAGATGTACATGGATAACCTTGTCTTGAATGGATATCATCATATAGACTCTCTGAATGGCATTAAAGAACAAGAATTGCTTTCTATCGGAATTATTAAATCAGAAGATAGAAAGAAATTGCTGAATGCTTTTACTTCTCCAGAAGGTATTTATGTGCAGAAATTTATAGTACTCCACAATTTTTTAAAAATATAATTAAGCAGGCAAGTTGTGAACTTTTGCAATCACTTTCCTAGCAACAATTTTACCTTGACCCCATTTGGGCTCAAAATTAGCTGAATATGGGTTCCTATAAAAACATGCACCGAGGGACCAATATTGGGATGCTTAGATTTTTTAATATCTGTCATAAAATGGCTTTTAATATTGGGCAATAACAATTCTACATAGGGCCGACATTGGCTGAAAAGCATCTTGTGGAATGGGCAATTCTATATAGGGCCGATATTGACCGAATAATGGATATAAAATATTAGGTTAATCTAAGACATTTATTAAGTGCTAATATCGGCATTTTTTACCCTTATTGAATCAAGATTAATGAATATTTTGTCCGATGAATGCCCAAGTTATTTTGCTGCTAAGATTAATAGAAAAGTAGTACAGTAGACACTTAATTAACCAGGATGGTCGGAAAATACTGTGTTCTGGATAAGCAAATATCTCGTATAATTCAATTTATGCAAATTTCGATGAAGAAAATTATAGAAAATGTAAAGTATTGTACAATAATCTCTGTTAGCTAAATTAATTCGAAAGAAAAAAATATATTCAAAAGAAAACAACATCGCGTGTTATTGTTATGTAGATTCACAATTTGTACAGTTAAAAGGAAAAAACAAGGACGCAGTTTATGTCATTGTTTTGTGAAGATTAACTGATAGAAGTTTGTTTTCGTTTTTCATTTACTTTACGACAAATTTTACTAACAAGGGAAACTAGGGAAGTGTGACTCGCCAATTTTGAAATAAACTAGTGGGATGTATGCAGGTGACGAACCTCCTAATGTT